CCCCCGCTGTCGCCACTGTCAAATATCAGTGCAAAGTGATCGCGGGGCGCCCGAGCAGCCGGTCCGAGCGCGATCAAGATCTTGCCGCGACATGTGCTTCGTAGGTTTTGTCGACCGGGGCGAGGGATGGCGAGGGGCCTGCGCGCTGCAGACAGGCAGCATGCCGCGCGCGCCCCCCCCTCCGTCGGTGTCAAAACCAGGGCCGCGCAGAGCGATCGCATGGCGCCCGCGCGCGATCCAGCTCCTGCCGCAAAGAGCATTCTGGATTGCTTTCCACATCCGAAGTTTAAGTCGGGCCTGTCCCTCTACAGGAAGAACATTCAAAAATAGCAAAAGAATAATTGGGGGACGATTTTAGGAGTATGTTTTGACAGTTGTGAGGGGTATTCTTTCACTATTTTTAATTTTTCGCCCACAATCCCTCTGTAGGAGGAAAGGCCCGACTTAATCCTAAATGGGATTCTTGTTTTCTTTGGACACCCCGCGCATGAACAATAATCCACCACGTCATCATGCCACTAATCCGAGCGGGTCATCGAAATCGCGTAAAAGTCGTCGCTGTTGGCCTCGTCGAGCTTGATAATGGAGGAAGTCTCAGGCCAGAGCCTCGTCTGTGAGTGACTTGCGAGGCAGTCTCATGTGGAGCCCCCCCGCCCTGTGGGGTCCGCAACTCATGTCAGTAACCCGAGCGGGTCATCGGAATCATGTACCAGGCATAGCATCTGAGTACCCCAAGGGGGCAAATCGTGTGGATGTCTCGAGCGGGGGCCTCGTTTGTGAGTGAATTGCGACGAAGTCTCAGGCAGGAACCCACTCCCTATTGGGCCCGCGCTTCCTCGCCTCTGTCCTCGTCCTCCTCCTCCTCCCCCTTCTCTTCCTTCTCCCCCCCCGCCGCGTGACCGTCCAGACCGCTACGGCGGATGCCCAGTACAAGATGATACGGTCTGCGGGCCGTAATTCGTGACATTTTCGTTGCGTGCCCCCGCCCCTGTAGCGTAGGCTCTGTTTTGGACGACGCGCTGATTCACCGAGCGCGTTCCACTACTCGCAAACTGCCTACTTGCAAGCGTCCGAAAAAAAACAGGTCTTCCTCTATGTCATGTATCGTAAGTCCCCCACGGCGGATCCAGGAAATTTGCGAGTAGTTGATTTGCAAGTCGTGGAACGCGCTTGTCCATGGATGCATCTGCACTGGCAGCGCTGTCTCTGATTCGCGCTCTGTTTGCAGTTGGCCCGTGATGCGAACGGCACGCGCACGAACCACTGGGCCAACACCGTATCGTGTGCATGTTTGCGAAGGAAATATCAGCCAGCGTTGGTTCCAAATCGATCAGACGATGCAAATCAAGGAATCAGAAGAATCGAGCATGCTTGGAATCCGCAACTCAGTAGGGCTTGAGCTAGGATTCCCATAGGGCAAGCCTATTTGGAGAATTGGGCCCGCATTTCACGCTGGTAGTCCGAGCGGGTCATCGGAGACCGCTGCCGGCCATTGGCCTTCTGGCCGTGGCGGCGAGGGTACCGAGGAAAATCGGCACGCCTTCCCCGGCCAAAAGGAAGGAGAGATGCACGAGGATAGCAGGCGGTATGGAGATGAGGAGAGGGAGAAAGAGGACGAGGAGGACGAGGAAGTGGAGGAGGGAGGAGGAGGAGGAGGAGGAGGTAATGAGTAGGAGGAGCAGGCGGAGGCGGAAGAGGAGAGGAGGAGGAGGAGGAGGAGGGAGGAGGAGAGGAGGAGGAGGGAGAAGGGGAGAGGAGGAGGAGGAGGAGGAGGAGGAGGAGGAGAAGGAGGTTGAGGAAAAGGACGAAGACGAGGAGGATAGGACATGGAACGAGGAGGGCGAAAAGGAGGGGACAGAGGACGAGGAGGAGGAGGAGGAGGAGGAGGAGGAGGATGAGGAGGATGAGGCGCAACAGAGGGCGGGTGGAGGGCTTCCGCCAGGGCGAGGAGGACAAAGCGAGGGGTAAAATTAAACCGATTCTTATGCGAGGCCCTTCTGTCGGAGTAGGTTTTGTGTGACAGTGACGGTGGGGGGTGGGTGCTGGCATGGTTCTGGTTCATCCCCAATCGGGTTATGGAAGGGTGATTGACATCTCCCTGGATGGGAAGGAGGTTCGAATAGCTGGCTCGTTGGGCCACCTGCACCTGCGCCCAAAAGGGCTGGTGGGATTTTCGGGCAGTCCGCGTGTGTTTCGGGGCGGTCCAGGGCCTTCTTGCGTGTTGGGTGCTGCTGGAGTCCGTCTTCGGGCCCAGAAGGATCCAAACACGGAGGGTCTGCAGCCCATTACACACGTTTTGGACCATTACGATTTTTTCGTATCAAGAACCATCCGTGGTCTCACGGCTTTTTACCTAACAGCGAAGACTGATAGGTTTCTAGTGGGCTCAAAAGAGAGCATCATGACTCCCCAGGGGGGTCGGCGGGATCCGGACGGGTGCCGGGGACTCCTTCTTTAGCCAACTGTAACGCACTTCGTAGTCTTCGAGTTCCCAGAACTCCATTCCTGGGCATAATTTTGAATGCCCGGAGCCAACTGTAGGCCACTTCGTGTTCTTCGAGTTCCCAGAACTCCATTCTTGGGCATGATTTTGAATGCCCGGAGCCATCTGTAGGCCACTTCGTGGTCTTCGAGTTCCCAGAACTCCATTCCTGGGCATGATTTTGAATGCCCCGAGCCAATGGTAGGCCACTTCGTGGTCTTCGAGTTCCCAGAACTCCATTCCTGGGCATGATTTTGAATGCCCAGAGCCAACTGTAGGCCACTTCGTGTTGTTCTTCGAGTTCCCAGAACTCCATTCCCGGGCCACATTTTGAATGCTGAGGCAGGCTGATGTTGAGGCTGAGGCAGGCTGAGGCTGAGGCAGGCTGAGGCTGAGGCTGAGGCTGAAGGCAGACTGAGGCTGAGGCTGAAGCAGGCTGAGGCTGAGGCAGAGGCAGACTGAGGCAGACTGAGGCTGAGGCTGAGGCTGATGCTGAGGCAGGCTGAGGCTGAGGCTGAGGCTGATGCAGGCTGAGGCTGAGGCAGGCTGAGGCTGAGGCCGAGGCTGAAGGCAGACTGAGGCTGAGGCTGAAGCAGGCTGAGGCTGAGGCTGAGGCAGGCTGAGGCTGAGGCTGAGGCTGAGGCTGAGGCTGAGGCAGGCTGAGGCTGAGGCTGAGGCTGAGGCAGGCTGAGGCTGAGGCAGGCTGAGCTGAGGCCGAGGCTGCAGGCAGACTGAGGCTGAGGCTGAAGCAGGCTGAGGCTGAGGCTGAGGCAGGCTGAGGCTGAGGCTGAGGCCGAGGCAGGCTGATGCTGAGGCAGGCTGAGGCTGAGGCTGAGGCTGATGCAGGCTGAGGCTGAGGCAGGCTGAGGCTGAGGCCGAGGCTGAAGGCAGACTGAGGCTGAGGCTGAAGCAGGCTGAGGCTGAGGCTGAGGCAGAGGCGGAGCTGAGGCCTAGGCGGAAGGCCAGACTGATGCTGAGGCAGCTGAGGCTAGGCTGGGCAGGCTGCGGCTGAGGCGGGCTGAGGCTGAGGCCGATGCCGACGGCAAGCTGAGGCTGGGCTGAATGCAGGCTGAGGCGAGGCAGAGCAGACTGAGGCTGAGGCTGAGGCTGCAGGCAGACTGAGGCTGGGCAGAAGCAGGCTGAGGCTGAGGCTGAGGCGGCTGAGGCCTGATGCGGAAGGCTGATGCAGGCTGAGGCTGAGGCAGACCTGAGGCTGAGGCTGAGGCTGAGGCCGGCTGAGGCTGAAGCAGGCTGAGGCTGAGGCTGAGGCAGGCTAAGGCTGAGGCTGAGGCAGCTGAGCTGAGGCAGGCTGAGGCTGAGGCTGAGGCTGATGAGGCTGAGGCTGAGGCAGGCTTAGGCTGAGGCTGAGGCTGATGCTGAGGCAGGCTGAGGCTGAGGCTGAGGCAGCTGAGGCTGAGGCAGGCTGAGGCTGAGGCTGAGGCTGAGGCTGTGGCTGAGGCTGAGGCAGGCTGAGGCCGAGGCTGAAGGCATACTGAGGCCGAGGCTGAAGCAGGCTGTGGCTGAGGCTGAGGCAGGCTGAGGCTGAGGCAGGCTGAGGCTGAGGCCTGAGGCTGAGGCTGAGGCTGAGGCTGAGGCTGAGGCTGAGGTAGGCTGAGGCTGAGGCCGAGGCTGCAGGCAGACTGAGGCTGAGGCTGACGCAGGCTGAGGCTGAGGCTGAGGCAGGCTGAGGCTGAGGCTGAGGCTGAGGCTGAGGCAGGCTGATGCTGAGGCAGTCTGAGGCTGAGGCTGAGGCTGAGGCAGGCTGAGCCTGAGGCAGGCTGAGGCTGAGGCTGAGGCCGACGGCAGACTGAGGCTGAGGCTGAAGGCAGGCTGAGGCTGAGGCAGAGGCAGACTGAGGCTGAGGCTGAGGCAGGCTGAGGCTGAGGCAGGCTGAGGCTGAGGCTGATGCAGGCTGAGGCTGAGGCTGAGGCAGGCTGAGGCTGAGGCTGAGGCTGAAGGCAGGCTGATGCTGAGGCTGAAGCAGGCTGAGGCTGGGGCTGAGGGAGGCTGAGGCTGAGGCAGGCTGAGGCTGAGGCTGAGGCAGGCTAAGCCTGAGGCTGTGACTGCGACTGCCGTTGCCACTGCGACTGTCATCGCGAATGCGACTACGACTGCGAGAACATTAGATTTCTACAACTGGATTCTCATCTGAATCTTAAGGGGAGTGCTTCCAGATATGCTTCTACACATCGCTGTTAGGTTGCTTTGCCGGGATAATTAATGCGTGGCGGAGGCACGGTGGCCTCTCGCCGTCGTCCTTCTCGCTCTTCACAGTCTCTTCCTCCCCCTGCCTCTCCTTCTTCCCCTCCCCTCCCCCTTCGCCTCCTCATCTCTCTTTCCCTCATCCCTTCCTTGCCCCTTCCCCTTTCTCTATCCCCTTCCCCTCCCTTCCTCCTTCCCTTTCCCGTGCTCCCCCTCCCGCTCCCTCCTCCCTGCGCTTTCCCTCCCTCTGCCCTCTTTCCCCTCGATCCGATGCCCCCTCCTGCCTGACATCCTGCCGCTCGGTGCCCCCATGGAGGTTGCGTTCGGCTACCCTCAGCAGCTGTGGAGGTTGCGGCGGACCAGACGCGGCTTCAGGCATGTGCTGCAGGAGGAGGAGTAGGATCAGAGTAGAGTAGGGAGAGGAGGCAGAGGAAGGGCAGCAGGGGGGGACGGGGAGAAGGAGAGGGTCGGGGGGGAGGGGGAAGGAGGTATGAGGGAGGGGGGCGGATGTATGAAGTACTCAGGGGACGGGGCGGTTGATGTATTGACGTTTTGGTATACACATCTTCCGATGCTGTCGTCTATTACCCCCTCGTGGAGTTCAGATTTTGCGAGCAAGTCGTTGAAGCTTGTTCGTGCGACGTGGTCATCGTCGTGGTTATCATCTCGTTCACCATCTCAACTGCTCCGTGAGCGGTGCTGTTGAGCCCAAGAGCAAGCTTGGCAATACCCGTTTGCTCGAGCGCTTGCCACACAGACGGCTACCTGCGGCGGTCAAGGGCTCCCCCGGCAGGGGCCGCAGAAAGAAGCGAGGCACCAGCCGGCTCCTGGCACCCACCTGGCAGCAGCGCGAGTGGGCCTCGGAGGCTCAGCACGCGGGTGGGCCTCGAAGACACCCTGGCCCTCATGGGCCCCTCCGCCGCTTCTGGCGGCTGCCTGGAGGCAGGGCGATCACCGAGAGCGAAGCCAGAACCCGACGGCACATGCGCCGGCGCCGTGTCGGGTTGAGCTTCGGCGACGCCTTCGGAGGCGAGCAGAGCACGGGAAGGGAGGGGCGGGGCGAGAGAGGGACGGGTTAGGAGCGGCGGGAAAACGGGGCGGGACTCGGGGAGCAGACAATGACACACACACATGGCCTTTCGGAGGTCCGCGCGGAGCTCTCGCATCGGCGCTGGGCGGCGCCGGAGGCGCGCCGGAGGCGCGCCGCCAGGGGGCCTCCGCCGCCGACCCGAGAGCTCTGCGCGGACCTGCGGAGGTCTGCTCCGAGTTTCTTAGTAAGCGTCCTTCCTCCCCCCTCCTCCCTCCTCCCTCCTCCCTCCTCCCTCCTCCCTCCTCCCTCCTCCCTCCTCCCTCCCTCGGGGGGGGGCGCCACCCCCGCCGACAGCCCCACATCGGCCCCCGTCGTGGGCAGCCGGGCAGCCACCGCGCGCCGAAGGCGCTCCGACCCCCGCCGCGGCGCGGCGACGAGGCGAGGCTGAACCCCGCCGGGGGGGGGTGCCCCCCCCCCCCCCCACGCCTGTGACGAGACCCGAGGAGTCTGCTCCCCGAGGGGCAGCGCCCCCCGCGGCCCTGCGCCCTGGCCGCCGAGGTGCGCCCCCCCCCGGGCCAGCGACGAGGACTGCACCCGCGGGTGGCCGCTCTACGGGGTCGCCGCCCGGGAGCTGCCGCCGGGGCCTCTCGTGGAGACGGGGCCAGGGCGGGCAGGGTCCCCCTCTCCCTCCCCCTCGGGCTGCTCGGGGTCCGAGGTGGCCTGGCACTGGCGCCGGCGAGCAGGAAGGCGGGAGGGGTGGCACGAGCAGCGGGGCGTGAGGAGGAGGAGGGGGAGGAGGAGGAGGAGGAGGAGGAGGAGGAGGAGGAGGAGGAGGAGGAGGAGGAGGCGAGCAGGAAAACAGTATCAGTTTTAGTTGTTTCTGTTTTCCCTCCTTTTGGATCTCCGGGGCCGGTTCTCGGCGGGGAGGGGTCTGGGATCCGATTCTGAGCGGATTTGCTCTGATCTCCTCGGTTCCCGACGTATTTCCCCGGGGCGGCCCCGGCGGGGCCCGTCCAGTTCAGACACCCCAGCCGCCAGGGAGGAGGGGGAGGTGCAGTGCGGTACAGTGCAGATGCCCTAAGCACCCTTCGCTCCTTCCCTCCTTCCCTCCTGCCCTCCTTTTTTTTTTTGTTCCTCCTCTCGCCCTCCCCCTCCCCTCCCTCTCCCTCCCCCGTGCCCCCCTTGCCCCCTCCCTCCCACTCCCCTTCCTTCGTCCCCTGCCCCCCCCCCCGCCCCTCCCCTCCCTCCCTCCCCTCTCTCCCTCCCTCGCCCTCCCGCCCTCCCTCACTCACTCCTTCCCTCCCTCCGCCCCCTTTCCTCCCACACTTCTTCCCTCCCTCCCTCCCTCCCTCCCCTCCCCTCCCCTCCCTCCTCTCCCTCCCTCCCTCGCCCTCCCTCCCTCGCTCGCTTCTTCCCCGCGCCACTGGGCTGGGGAGGAGGCCATGGAGCGGCTCGGGCTGCCGCGGCCTCAGCGGCCGCCAGCGGCGGTTCGGCCAGTCGGGGGGGTGGCGGCGGGGAAGGAGCGGGAGCGGGAGGGGGAGGAGGGGGAAGAATACCCCTCAGGGGGGAGGAGGGGGAGGAGGGTGAGGAGGGAGGGGGAGGAGGGGGAGGAGGGAGGAGGAGGGGGAGCGGGAGCGGGAGGGGGAGGAGGCGGAGGAGGGGGAGGAGGGAGAAGGAGGGAGGAGGGGGAGGAGGAGGAGCGGGAGCGGGAGCGGGAGGAGGAGGAGGGGGTCGAGCCCCACAGTTTTGGTCTACCTCTCGCGTCTCACCTTCTCCCTGATTGACCCTCGACCCCCTTCTGTGTTCCGACGAGGGGCGATCGGCAGGACAGGCGGTTGCAGGAGCACCTTCGTTTACCGTTAGCAGCAGCAGCAGCAGCAGCAGCAGCAGCAGCAGCAGCAGCAGCAGCAGCAGCAGCAGCAGCAGCAGCAGCAACAGGGGGAAGAAGAGTTGGAGGAAGGTCGGGCAGAGGACGGTGGGTTGGGGGAGGAAGGGCTGGGACAGGATTGCACGGCGGCGCAGGACCGAGCCGAAGGCAGCAGCGCCAGCATTGTGGATGTGACGGGATGTGATGGGGTGAGACAGGACAGAACAGGGCAGGGCGGCACAGGACATGCCATGACAGGAGATGGCAGGGCAATGTAGGACATGATAGGAACACTTTCGTCACCTGTAGGGGGCCACCTGCGAACCCTACCCCTACCCCCCACGATTTCTGAGGGGGAGGGTGGGGTTTACTTCATTTGGGAGCTCCCGAACGAAGTGAACCCACCCTCCCCCTCAGGAATCGTGGGGGGTAGGGGTAGGGTTCCCATGTGGCCCCCTTAACATGGTCTTCGATGGCCAGGGGAACATGGTGAGGGAGCGGGAGGCATACGGCATCGAGAACGGCAGATTATGAGCATGAGAATTGATAGGAGAAGCAGAAGTACAGGAAGGATTGCAACACATAGGGTAATCGGAGCGAGTACTGCGCGACATCGAGGACATGCTGGACGTGCTGAGGCCAGAGAAGGACCAGTAGTAGGAATATTGCAAGAGGAGGGTGAGGGGGTGAGGGCTTGCGACACGTAATTGCCCAGTGACGTACCCAACCCTTTTAATCTCGCGGAAGGTGTCTTCAGGAACGCTCAACGCAAACGAACATCAGAAGAGGCCCGCAGTGTTTGGAATCACCTACACGTGAAAACAAGAAATCAAGAATGCGAGGCCACGAAATCGGCGACAGTTGCGCGGTTCGCAGACCCGCAGGGCTGGTGAGGTCTCGGCAGGTCCGCGTGGACCTCTATTCCGCTGGATTTCCCAGGAGCCCACGAAAGTGGCACCAGTTGCGCGGTTCGCAGCCCCCCAGGGAGCGCGAGGTCTCAGCAGGTCCGCGTGGACCTCCACTCCGCTGGACCTTCCAGGAGCCCACGAAAGTGGCGAGAGTTGCATGGTTTGCAGCCCCCCACAGAGCCGCGAGGTCTCCGCAGGTCCGCGTGAACCTCCTCTCCGCTGGACCTCCCAGGAGCCCGCGAAAGCGGCGACATTTGGGCGGTTCGCAGCCCCCCAGGGCCCGCGATGTCTCGGCAGGTCCGCGTGGACCTCCACTCCGCTGAGCCTCCCAGGAGCCCACGAAAGTGGCAACAGTTGCGCGGTGCGCAGCCCCCAAGGGAGCCGCGAGGTCTCGGCAGGTCCGCGTGGACCTCCACTCCGCCGGACCTCCCAGGAGCCCACGAAAGTGGCAACAGTTGAATGGTTCGGCTCTCCGCAGAGCCCGCGAGGTCTCGACGAGGGAGAGGTCGACTAAACAGGAAAGAGAGGGGGCTGAGAGGAGGTGACGAAGGGGAGGCGGGAGGAAGGAGGAGGGAGGAAGGAGGAGGAGGATGAGGAGAAGGTGGGGCCCACACTGCTTTATTTAAAGCGAGAACCCAACCAAGGGAGGGTTGGGAATAACTCAGGTGGCGGAGGTGGGGGAGGCGGGAGAGGCAGAGAAGGAAGAGCAGCAGCATCGGTGGAACTCTTGTCGTGAGTGGCGCTTTCTGCTCTGCTTGTGCTCCTCAGCACACCTGGGTCGGCAGCAGTCGCTAAGCCTTGGTGAGATACACTCCGCCGCCGCCGCAGGAGGAGCAGGAGTGAGGAGGAGGAGGACGATGAGGAGGTGGAGGAGGAGGAGGACCAGTGTAAACCCAAGACTCCTCCAGTATGTTGTAATACACCCTCCCTCCCAGATCCTTCTTCTCAGGGGTCATACAAAGGGGTCCTTTCCATTGAGGGAATTGCCCCGTTGGGAGACAACCGTATGAATATCTTGAAGCGAGCCAAAGCATCATTCTCAGGGCTTCCACGCCACGAGTCAACCTGACTGTTACGTCTTGGCGATCCTGAAGCGTGCTATAACACAATTCCTGGGACTTCAACATCGCGACTTAGCTGTTGCGCCCTGAAAATCTTGAATCGCTCCAGAACGCCGTATCTGGTACGTGAACCATGAGAACCAGTACAACTTGCAAATCTTTGAAACGAATTTGCGAGGCACTATGGCGAGAAACACTTTTCGAAAACCACCCGTCCTGAATCCGTGAAGATCATGCACTTTGAAATGTGCACGGCGCTAAGGCGATAGCCACATTTTGAAAACGAACCGCCCTCAATCCGTGAAGCTCATGCAGTTTTTGAAAACCTGTGCGCGGCGCTATGGCGAAAACCGCATTTCGAAACGAGCCGCCTTCAATCCGTGAAACCGGCGCGCTGAGGCGAGAGCCACATTTGGAAAACCACCCGCCCTCAGTCCGTGAAAGGCTTGCAAATGTTTAAGACGAGTGTGCGGTTCGCTAATGTGAGACCCACATTTTGAAAACGACCCGCCCTCAATCCGTGAAGCTCTTGCGCATTTTTAGAACGAAAGTGCGCGGCGCTGAGGCGAGAGCCACATTTTGAAAACGAACTGCCCTCAATCCGTGACGCTTTATGCGAATGTTTGACACGAATGTGCGCGGCGCTTCGGCGAGAACAGCATTTTGAAAACCACCCGCCCTGAATCCGTGAAAACCGTGTGCAAAGTTTTAACGGCGCTTAGGCGAGAGCCACATTCTGAAAACGACCCGCCCTCAATCCGTGAAGCTCTTGCACATTTTTAGAGCGAGTGTGCCTCTCGCGGCGCTAAGGCGAGAGGCACATTTTGAGAACGAGCCGCCCTCAAGCATTGAAGCTCTTGAACTAAAAAACGAATGTGCGCGGCTCTAAGGCCGAGAGCCACATTTTGAAAACGAACTGCCCTCAATCCGTGACGCTTTATGCGAATGTTTGACACGAATGTGCGCGGCGCTTCGGCGAGAACAGCATTTTGCAAACCACCCGCCCTGAATCCGTGAAAACCGTGTGCAAAGTTTTAACGGCGCTTAGGCGAGAGCCACATTCTGAAAACGACCCGCCCTCAATCCGTGAAGCTCTTGCACATTTTTAGAGCGAGTGTGCCTCTCGCGGCGCTAAGGCGAGAGGCACATTTTGAGAACGAGCCGCCCTCAAGCCTTGAAGCTCTTGAACTAAAAAACGAATGTGCGCGGCGCTAAGGCCGAGAGCCACATTTTGAGAATGAGCCGCCATCAATCCGTGCAACCCTTGCACAGTTTTGACGCTTCGCGTATCCTCGCCAGCAGCCCTAACTCCCCGTGGACATGAAGTTCCGTACATGGTTGTTCTATGTATTGATATCCGTGTTTTGCGGCTCTCGGCTGCGCCCCCATCTCTCGCTTTCTTTCACCCACCTGCGTTGCTTCACAGGTCTTACGTGCAGCCTGTCTACGGCTCGAGCCTTCCAGCAGTACTCAGGGCCATGTCAGTTCTCAGGGTCGCTACGCGGCCTGTATGGACGGGAACGCTTGCTTCCTGGACAACAATGATCTGGGTCAGCTGGGCGCGGCTTCCACCTCCATGTACAAGGTGGTGTCCATCGCGCTTACCTTGTGGGCCATCTGGGACTCTGGTGTGCCCGGTGGAGCCCGCTGGATTGGCAGCCCCATGGTCCTCAACCGGCCCTTTGCCTCGAGCAGCGCTTGTGAGTTCGTGGACTGAGGCCGCTGTGGGTATGGACGCAGCCACATTGGTCACGAATTTCTCTATATGGTGGAGCTGTGTGTTGATACCTGTGACCTGCGGCTTTCGGCTGCGCCCCCAATTCTCGTCCCGTAC